GACAGAGACAGATATGACATCACCATCAACAATTTTTTGTTTATTTATTATAAGAAAAAGTGGGAAGTACAGTGGCTTCATAGTTAGTGCACTTGACTCTGGATCCATTGGTCTGGGTTTCAACCCTGGCTGTGGACATGGTGTTGTGTTCTTGGGCAAGACACTTTACCATCACAGTGCTTCTCCTCACCCAGGTGTTCAAATGGGTAACAGTAAATTTTAAGCTACCCTGCGACGGCCTAGCATCCCATCCAAGGAAGTAGATATACTCCTAGCTGCTTCATGCTACACAAACTGGAGTTAAGTGCCAGCCTGATGGGCCACTTGGCTTGTTAACAGACTTGACATATTACACGGAACAAATGGATTCCATGTTGTCATGGGTCTGTTCATTTGTGATGTGGCAAGTCCAAAAAAGTGACACACTTGGCAGCACCTTGTGTGCCACTTTTTTGTTCTTGTGCAGAGAAAGTTGAACTGTGTTGGCTGTTCATGTAAATGCTTTGATCATTTGTCTTACTTTGATATGAATTTGAACTATCATATCCACACAAAATTGTTTACCAAACAAGCCCATGGCAAAAAAATGACCAGTGACCAATTCTTATCATTGATTTTAGCTCAACTTACATTGAGTAGTGGGTTGTTGTTGTCCAAAGATACTTCCAGTGTTAGTTGCAGTTCCTCCAAATAAATTCCCAGTATTTGTGCCTCCAAACAGTGTAGAGGTCCCTGACGTCTGAGGCTGACTAAATGTACTTCCAAAGCCTGTTGACTTTTGGGTGTTTCCAAATAGATTAGTGCCAATACCTTTCAAAAAATGGAGACAACGGTATCAAACAGCAAAAATTTAAAAAATAGAACACCTACTCTTTTAGAAGGAAAGTTTGGCAGGTTCTGCAGCTGCAAAAAAATTGATTCCACAAAGCAGAGCACAAAAAGGTTCCAATCTTCAATACCAAACTTGCATTAAACTCCAGGCCACACAGCAGTATCAACTTATGTTACACAAGCTTTTAAGAAAAAGTTTGTTACAGGGTTCGTACCCTTTTTCAGAAACAAATTTCAAGGAATTTTCCAGGCTCGGATTGATTTTTCCATGGCTCCCTCAACCTCTATCCCTTTCATTCCCAAGATTTCAAAATCAATTCTTCTCCTTGCAGTCTATACACATGTGCAGTAAATGGCTTGAACCCGGGGGTAACATATGA